CCTATAGAATGGGAGTGCCTCATGAAAGCGTCCCGAGACTCCCTAAAGACGAAAGAAGGCGAAATACTCGGGCAGAATATATATATTCAGCACGGAGAAGGTGTCTGGGCTATTGGCATGGCCCAAAAGGCCAGCCCACCCAGCCGGGTACAAGGAGGCTAATTCAAAGTACAAAAGTTGCGCCTCACCAAAACCGAGGGATAAACCGCTATTGTATTACGTAGCCTCCCTCCTCTTTTGAGCGTCGTCCCCGGCGCTCACACAGGTCAACCTCCCGCGTCAGCCATTACAACGTAGTCGGTGCAGTAAAGAAGCACCCACGAGCTGACCGTGCCAGTCACCAAATTAGCGTGCAACTGAGGGGATACTTGACCTCAACGTCACTGTTCCCTCTTGGTGGCTTGACTGGATCTGGGGTTTCGTCCGGTTTAGGGATTTGATTCAGGACGGGAACTGCGCCGGCCATCATGCGTGTCCATAGATAGATGCAGGAACACTGACAGGTGCATGGGGGACGGTAGGGAAAATCCGTAACGAAACTTCCAGGCGTTTCACGGCTAGTGTCGCTTCAGTTGTTAATAGCTTTTCTGCAGAACACGGGACTGGGAGAGATGCCAAAGGCAGACGTCAACATCAACCCTTCTGTTAGGGGTCATCACCGTTCTCCCATCCGTAGCATATGCACTTCTTCCGCTCCACCAAGGCTTATCACGCAGAAGTGGAAAATCATGATACATGACTTTCAAGATCGGGTTCGCTTTCCGCTTCTATGCGGAGAATAGCAGATTTCCCGTCTTGGTGGAGGAGTCCATCCACCGGCGTGGGTCTCACACTTCAGTTTGGTAGTGAAGGTGAACAACGTTTGTTGCTAGCAGGTTGGAAAGAGGATTTTGGCTAAATGAATGAGCATAATAATGGAGTTAGTAGAACGCCAATCACCAAGTAGCCTGAGTGGTCTAACTCCTGCAACTTTGATGCAGATTGCCAGTTTGGGACGGATGGT